GCCTTTTCTTACCTAGATTTCTCTTTGGATGTAAGTTCATCTCATGGGTGATGTAAACAGACTTCCTGAGTAAATCCTCTGTCACCTTTTCTAAAGATGTTCCCTAGGAGCCTCTAGGCTAAATCTGAGTTGCTGATGGATGAAAATTTGGAGTTGGTATTTTCTTGTGCACTTCTAACTTGTGTGGTGGGAGATCAGATCAAGCTTCTGTGGATAAGTTGGCTTTTTATGATTTAACAATAAAACCTATCTATGTTGATGCCCTTGTCAGAATAAAACATTTTTACAAAAATAGAAGTTGTGTCTTTCCTGGAGGATAACCAGCCTTCATACGTCTTATCAATATGAATCTAGAAATAATTGTCTTTCAATAAGTAGGATAGAATAGGGTACCAAATGCCTCGTCTACCCCAGCTCATGATTATTCATCTGGAGAAAGCAATAATAGGAGTACTGAATCTGCTCAGCACTTCCTAGAATAGTCTACAGTGCCCTGTGGATGTGACAATGCCATTATGTTCTCCATACTCAGCTTATTGATGCAAGCAGTGTTCTTAGATAGCACACTGTCCCAAATAAGTCGGTTTAAACATTCCATGATTTTGTAGTCTTTGAGATGATCTGATTCTTCTTCAGAGTACCTTGATAGAAGATGCCTGGGTTATAATGCGTACTCTGGATGGATCCTTTGCATAGGTGACTCTGCTGTAGAATATTCTGTGGCTTCAGTAAAAACAGATGGGACACAAATGAGTTAAATGCAGAGATTCATTATATCAGAGCCCATGGTCCTTCCAGATTTTCCTAGGTGCTGGGGTACCAGACATGGTTGGGTTTCATCCTGACTCCATGCTTTTTCCTGTACCCTAGGATTCTCAACCCCTCCTCATCCACTGGGCAAATCAGACAACCACTTTTGATCCCTGTACAGCTAGAGCAGATTCCTGAAGCTGCATCCCATTCAGAAGACATTTGGTGGACAAGGAAGGAGCAGATTTGTCTTTCTCTGATTTCCCGTAGTGGTATCTACTGGAGGCATAAGGGTAGTGGTGGCTTAGAGGCTTTTTTGTTGTTGTTGTTTTGCTTTTTCTTCTGTATAAAATATAAACAAACATGAATATATATTTTTTGAAATAATGCCCCTGTTTTGCATATAATGGACGTTGGAGGTATTTTAAGTGATTATTGTGTGAATTACTGGGCTATTGTTTTACCTGTTTTCATGTTTCCTTTCCCAAGCATTATTTTGCATTTTTGTTTCTCTTGAATGCTATAGCTAGTGGTTGAACTTTTGAGAAGCAGAACATTTAGTATTCTCCCAGTGTTTACCCCATGAATGACTTCTTAGTTACAAAGGAAATGAATAGTTACCTTTCAGTGGAAGAATCTAGTGGACCTGCTTTAAGTACTTAAAATAAATACTATCATTAATAGGACAAGCCAACTCCATAAGCTGTAGACAGCTTGTACTGAGAAGAGTTATATTCGTGCCAGAAATTCATGACTTGAATCTACTTGTGAGAAGAGATTCAAACTGAAGAATGTTTTACAAAATAACTGGGCTCTCTTTCTCAAAAAATATTAGCCTTGAAATATGAAAGGTTTAAGAAGTAGGAGATTAAAGGAAAGAGTTATTCTAATTAAGTGCAGGGTATGATCTTGAATTGGATCCAAGGATATAGGAAAATGTGTAGAGTACATTATTGGGGATGGTTGGCAGAATTTGAATATAGATTGTTAATGAAGGAAGAACCTGTATCAATGTTAACTTGAGTGTCAGTGTTCTTGGGGTTTTGTTCTAGGCTCTCTCCTAACTACTGCATTCCATCTGTGCCACAATCTATAACATCTAGATCAGGTTGCTTTATCTCCCATTTTTGGTATCAGACTCTTCAATGTTTATATAGGTTTCTCCTTTGGTTATTCTACTGACAAGTCAGAATCAGCCCATTCTTTATCTTCATGCTGCTGTAACAAAGCACCTGAGGTAATTGTCTTAGCAAGAGAAAAGGTTATTATGCCTTATGCCTTGCCAGGTTGCTGTCCAAGATCAAGCAGACCCATTGCTTTGGGACTTTGATGGAGCGTCCGTTAATAATGGTGGGGAATATGGAATAGAGCAAAAACTATTCTATTAGGAGCCAGGAAACAAAAGACAGAAATGAGTCAAGGTCTAAAGACCTCATGTCACCTGAAGATTCCCCCATCTCCCAGTAGTACCATTCAGTAGTACCCATCTCCCAGTAGACCAGATCTGTATCTTTGGGGGACCTGTATCTGAACCATAACTCTTACCTTCCTTGATCAGACTTTTGGTCTCCCCAAACCTGGCTACTCTTCAGTGTGTCTCTCAAGGAAATGTCACCAAGATCACCCATCATCCATGCCAGAATCTGAGCAGGACTTTTTCCTCCTCTTGCCTCCCAATTAACATTCTCCTCTGGGAAGCCAAAATAAACTTTGAAGATGTCAGGTTATACCCTGTTCTACCTTGCTGAATGTCTCCCTGTCATCCCACTCACATGAGAGAGAAGTCAAACTCCTCGGCAAGGATATGATGCTCCATAACACAGGCTCAGTTTAGCTTTCTTTATCTGCTGCCACTGTCTTCTCCATCGAACTGAATTTATTTTTTAGTTTCTCAAAGATGCTAAGTTCTCTTTTTTCTCTCTCAACCGCATCATGAACCCACCTCTTTCTTCCACCTAGATTAGCTTCTGAAGTTTCTGATCACAGGTTTAGGGTCATTTCTGTGTGTGGCTAGTCTCCTTCTAAATCCATCTACACTAAAAACATTGCTGTACTTTCTCTGGTGCACACTCACCATACATGGGTACCTGTCTTTTATGTTTGCATCTCACTGGATTATTAGAAATGAAAGATCAACTCCATCTGTGTTCACAGTTTGAACTTCTAGTCCTAGAATAGTTCCTGGCAAATTAATGTTGCTCAATCAAAACATTTTTGTTGTTGTTGTTGGTCATGGGGCTTGAACTTGGGGAAGTCCAGTGAAGTGTACACTTGCTTGAGAGTTACAGAAAGCCTTCTCTCCTCTCCCGGCCCAACACCATTGCCTCAGCTCTCACATCCAACCAGATCAACCATGGTCATCACTTAGCAAGGAAAATTTATTTCAGCTGCAAATACTAACTATTCTAGCATTATGGCATGCTTCCAAGTATGAAAATATCACCAGGGATTCTGAAGCACTTAAGCGATTTATTGCCAGGCTACCATGGCTCCTATCTGTAATTCTAGCTGCTTAGGAGGCTGAGATCTAGGGATCACAATTCAAGAAAGTCCATTAGGCTCTTATGTCCAATTAACCACCAAAAAGACCAGAATGGAGTTGTGGTTTAAATGCCAGAGCACTAGCTTTGAGCGTTAAAGCTCAGGGACAGTGCCTAACCTGAGGGTTCAAGCCCTAGGACCAACATACACACACACACACACACACACACACACACACACACACACACACACACACACACACTCAAACACAAAGGGAAAGAAAAAGAATCTCACCTAAAAAAATCATTCAGGAATTTCTTCAAATAATTAAATTAATACATGACACAATACTGATAAAGAAGTGAAGGTTTATTATTCCCATGACATATGAACAAAAAAGTTGTAATAAGAAATCAAAGTATTTGGAAATTAGGAATATTAAAAACAAACCCTCAGTAAATGATTAATAATGAATACCAAATTGACTATAGAAGAAGGAGGAGAAGGCTGGAAATGTTATAAGGAGAAAAATGTCTAAACTAACCAAATATTAGTCCACTGCTCTCTCACATTATATATCTTTTGTGCAACCAAAACTTAGGACATTTATATCTCACCAAATAATAATAAAAACAAATTGAAACTATTCTTAGGCCATAAGAAAACCTCAATCGATCTCAAGGTAGACATCCTACAGACTATAACATTTGACTATAATAATAAAAAGCTGGAAAGTAACAACAAACAAAGTGCCAACTTCAAAATATCTTCATATTTTGGGGGCAGGAGAAATTAAAACTCAGGTTTCATGTAAATTTAATATGGAGTTGCATAAAAGTCATCTTAAGGGCCTGGGTGCTGCCCCTGAACCTCAGTGCCACTTCTGGTTTTTGAGTGGTCAGTTGGAGAGATAAGTCTCACAGGGACTTTTCTGTTTGAGCTGACTTTGAACCAGGATCCTCAGATCTCATTCTCCTGAGTAGCTAGGATTATAGGTGTGAGCCTCTGGTGCCCAGCTTCTATGTACTTCAGTGAGACATAAATTCATTACCTCAAACATGGGTTCAGATAGTGCTTTATACAACAAATAGAGTTTAATTGCTGTGATTCAGCCAGAAACAGCTAGGAAACCTTCCACATTTTCAGAATATTAAAAAAAATGTTTTCTTGCCAGGCACTAGTGACTCATGCCTATAATCATAGCTACTCAAGAAAGCAGAGGGCCAAAGGATTTCATTTTAATCCACAGAAAAGTCCACAGGACTCCATCTCAAACCAACCAGCAAAAATCTGGGCTGGGGATACGGCTCAAGTGGTAGAGTATCAACTGAGCAAGTGAGCTTTATTTTCTGGAGTGTACTTGAATAAAAAATTAAATTGAAGTCCATCTTTAATAAGTAATCTGGACATATTTGCAAACTCTTAAATTAAGGCCCCACACTTTTTTCCATGGGATCTGAATGGCAGTGGTCTTTGGGGCTGTCGGTACCTGGGTGGTATTCTACAGGTGTTAACACCTCAATTTTCACCATTTTGTCAATGTTCAAGTGCCACATTAGCTATTAGTTGTAATTACTGAAGTATTTCTTATGAGGTTTTATAGTAGAACATAATGGAATATATAAAAATTATGTAATAGAAAGGGATTCTTAACTAATTGAAATTGATATCTGAGATTTGGAAATTTCTAGATCAATTTTTTAGGTCAGATGTTTTAAATTACTATTCATTTATAAACAATTGAGTTTGTTTTTTTTTTCCTGTTTTAGGGTTTGGAAATATCTCACCACGCACAGAAGGTGGGAAGATATTCTGTATCATCTATGCCTTACTGGGAATTCCTCTCTTTGGCTTTCTCTTGGCTGGAGTGGGAGATCAACTTGGAACCATATTTGGAAAGGGAATTGCCAAAGTGGAAGATACATTTATTGTGAGTATCCCATACTTCTGGGTACATATATTTATTGTTTGATGTTTTTTCTAATACAAATAATACGTTTACTATGACTTTAGGGAGAGTTAAAAATCCAGTTATTAAGGTTCCCATAACCATTTATATGAAAATCTCCTAGCATGTAAGTCGCATTATTTTAATTATGATATAATTACCTGAATGAATAAATCCCTGTATGAGAAAAATGCAAAAATATGTAGAGGCAAGTTGGGTATGTTGGCTCATACTACTCAGCTACTCAGGAGATGGAGATGAGGGAGGTTGTGGCTCAATGCCAGTCTGGGCAAAAGAGTTATATAGAGCCTATTTCAACCAGGAAACTGTGAATGGCGCAGACTGACTTTCATCCTGGACATGTAGGAAGCAAATAGGAGGCTCTGGCCCCAGGGGGAGAAAACATGCAACCCTCTCATTTAAAAAAACAAAAAACAAAAATCCAACCTCATTAAAGCATTAAAAAAAAAAAAAGGCTGAGGGCATGGGCCAAGTCTGTCCAACAAGTGAAAGACATAAGTTTAAACCTTAGTCTCATCAATGAATAAAATAAATAAATAATGTTCTTATGGAGTTCCAAAATAATAATACACGTCTTGATTTAAGCTTGTCTTTTGATAAAAATGATAGAAGAATTGAATGGTTGGATTTGAGGGTGAGATTATAATTTGTTATTACTACCAGCAGTGTTCCAACTGAGTTTTATTTATTCAAAACTTTTATCTTTTCTCATAAGCAACCAAATGTTTATATTTAACTGCACAGATGAAATAAAATTACTGAATATTGTTTCTTAATATAGATTGCTGTCCCAAAATTTTAGCATTAGTCACTTTACATATTTAAGGTCCAAGTTAGCACTCAAACATTTCTACTATTAGAATGGAAAAAGACATCGTTACCCAAAATAAGAGTTTTGTTTTTCCTTGGTATTATACTTTCCTTAAATAAATGTAAATATGTCTTGTATTCATCTTAATCAAGAGGTCAGTTAGTGGCATGGACTTGAAATGCTGACTTGTCCTCCTTACATCCATACTACCTACTAGACGGTGAAAGAGACTCTTATAATCTCTTTCTTTTCTATGATTTATTAGCTCTTTATCATCAAAAATTCTATTCTGCATCATTCAGTGATTTTTCCAAATGGTACGAGATATTGCTCTTCAATATTTACAGTGCACAGATCCAGTCCGAGATTAAAAATACATGGTATCTAAGCCAAATATGGCAGGGCGTACCTGTAATCCCAGCAGTTGGGATACTGAGACAGGAGGATAGTTTTGTCAGCATGAGCTGGAATACATAATGATACCATGTGGCCAACAAAATCAAACATAAAAACAAAGAAACAAAAGGTAACTAACCTCAAACAGACAGGAAGCAATAAACTGAATAATGACGTGTAATACATTACACGATAGTGATTTCTTACTGGAAAAGGAGCATAACATGGCAGGTGCTGGCTCTGATGATAGCTGTGACTGGGGTTCTGAAGGCATCCTTCCATCCGGGTCTGCAGCTTTGGGGTTGTGCAGTTGGAGGGAGGTCACGGAGCAGAGCAGCCATTCGCATGGCTCACGTGAGAATCAGAACTAGGCATTGTTCCTGTCCTAGTCCATCGAATTATTTCATAGTTCATGTTTAGCAATTCCCAAGGGTGAATATGTACTTCTTATTTCTAGTTGTGTTCCACTTGCAATCCGTTGCACACTTGCCCTGTAGGAATACCCCACAAAAGTGTTCAGATCAATGAAGAATACATACCTGAAATCATGTTCTCAGGGCAAAATGGAGTATATTTTTGAAAAATGTTCTACCTGTTACAGAACTCTGTTAGTGTACAGTAGTACGCTGATTAGCATTGGTTGTGCTGGGTTGTTTATGATATACTCAGATTTCATAAGTCAAGGTAGTTGAAAACCATGTATGGAAAGGGATAAAATGCCATGCTCAGGAATAGGTAGAGGCTGGTTGTGTGGGCATGTCCATAAGCTCTCTCCTCCTTCTCTTCCTTTAGAAGTGGAATGTCAGTCAGACCAAGATTCGCATCATCTCCACTATCATATTTATACTATTTGGCTGTGTCCTCTTTGTGGCTCTGCCTGCTATCATATTCAAGCACATAGAAGGATGGAGTGCCCTGGACGCCATTTATTTTGTGGTTATCACCCTAACAACCATTGGATTTGGTGACTATGTAGCAGGTAAGGCTTTTGCTGGCACCGCCATTGGTCTCCTGATGCCATCCTTTAATTAGATTTTTCACTTGGGTTTACAAGGAAACCTGCTGGCTGTATGGATTTGCTAGGGTTGCAGTAGTGAAATATCACAAATGGGGTGGTTCAAGTGAAAGGAAATCCCTTCATATAGAGGCTAGACCTTGAGACATCAGTGGACCATGAGCCTTTCCACTACTGAGGGTGGAATGCTTCATCTCTCCCCAGTTCCTGGCTGAGGCTGCTCATCAAACCATAGCCTTCCTTGGCTTTCAAATATCTCATTCCAATCCCTGCCTTACCATCACACCATGTTCTCCTTGTATTTGTGTCACCCTTTCCACACTCCACTCTTCTTAACTACTCCAGCATACCTCATTTTACCTGCATGGACTTATTATTTCAAGGAAGGTACCATTGGTCATAAGAACCTGCACATAGCTGTTTGGTGGACACAATCCAGCCCACAACAGTGGTCAAGTTAAGTATTGATTCCTTGGCATTCTCAAGGTACATGGAAACGTGGGAGTTAAACATTTGTTTCTTCATTCTGCACATTGCTGGCTTTTTAGAAATGTCCATTTCTTTTTTTTTTTTTTAATTTTATTTGTGAACATACTGTACAGAGGGGTTACAATTACATGGGCAGGATAATGCGTACAAGAAATGTCCATTTCTACTGTAATTTTATAAACTGAGTATCTGCCTCTTAAAATTGTTTCCATTGGTACAAGATTTTCAAGTCCAATTTACCTTTGCCTTTTCTTCATAGCCTTTTTATAACATTAGTTTTAAAAAGGATTTTCACACCATGATTGTGGACACTTGAAACCCTTTCTTTATAATACTCATTCAGGTTTGAATTCTTAGTGTTTTGGACTTTACCTAAGGCAGGTTGTGTAATGTCTAAATTTTCTGATTCCCAGTTCTTTGATTTTTCTCTTAGGTAGTTGTGTGGTTGTGGTTGTTGTTGTTTTAAATCACCGTGTTGCTTAGCTCTTACTTCTTTATCAGTTCAACTCTCACTTTCCTAGCTATGTGATTCAATGGTACTAGAGCAGCTGTAAGCATGAAGTATAATGCTGGTAGTTAAAGTAAGTGCATACATGCCAGTCCTAGATAATTTTGACTAGTTCTCCCAAATTAAAACCCATTTTTTAAATCCAGTTAGAAGTATTTAAAAATCTTGGTAAACATTTGGTAGGAATATGTAACATCCCAGAATAATCTCATTGGCCTCATTTACTTTTAAGAGTAAATTATCTAATTTTATATAAAATTATACATATTATAACATATAATATATAGAATATAGTATGTAAAATATATAATATATAGACATACAAGTAAAATACTATTTATCAAAATAGAATTTCCAGGAAATGGAAAAAGAGGCTTTGTCTTTTTTTGTTTTTATTTTTATTTTTGTCTTGTTCATTTATCTGTCTTTGGGAGGGGAAAGGGGAGCACAGAAATGGAGGGACAAAGGGTGATCACATACAGCAGTGTTCCTCATTGGACACTGTGTTGAAAATGAACTATACAACTTGTGCATGGAGATGGGAGGGGAACACTGGGAGAGAGTGAGGGAAGGGGTGACATGGCCAATATATATACATTATATATACACACATTATATATACACTATATATATACATTATATATATGTATATATAATATATACATATATATGTATATACATATATACATATGTATGTCTGTATACCTATATTCATATACAGGTGTACACATAGTCTATAAATATGTTTGTACATATATTTTTATATAAGGTGGTGCCTGAGTTTATTCAGGGCCTTGTATTCACTTGCTTTGGGCTCTACCACACCAGCCATATCTTCAATCTGGCTGTTTGCTGGTTATTTTGGAGATGGAGTTGAGTGGGTTTTCTGTGCACTAGAACCTGCCTTTTCTGTTCACTGGAACTGGAACTGAAATCTGCTAGACCTCAGAAGCCTGAGAAGTCAGAATTATAGATGTGAGCAACTGGCACCCAGCTTGGAATATGTGTGTTATCTTGAACAATCAACAAACAGACCAACTATGTCAATACACTATAGCTCCCTCATGATCTACAATGTTTTAAAAATACAGAAATTATAAAGATTAAAAAATGTCCATGGAATCTCAATATTGTGTTTGTGACCACTGTATACATGAACTCATAGACTCACTTTAAGAGATCAGTATTCTGAAACCAGCTAGTGAGTTCACCAGTGGCTGCTCTTCATTTATTTGTCTTACAAAGGGTAATGGTGTTCCATTTTGTAGAGATTATAAAAACGAGAGCAACTGACCTTGTTCATTATGGGTAAAGGAATTTGATCAGGTTAAAATGACAAGTGCTAAGTAACGTAAGTCAGATAAGAGGCAGATTGATGCTTTGTTTGCTGACTCTCCTAAATTATGTATTTCCTGGCTAAAGCTGGTCTTTGCAAAACTGTAGAACCTGTGCTTCAGCCTTTCTGTGCCAGGTCCTGGGGTCCACCGTTTTTTGGAATGAGAATGTGGGCCATGGGCAGATGTGGAGAAGGCTGGGTAGGAAATGTGAGCCTTTTAAAAGAATCTTTGGAAAAATAGAAATTGTGAGGTTTTTTTTTTTAATACGATCTTGGCAAGGAATTGCCTTATATATTTCAAAATTATCCTTTGTTTCTGGGTGCCTTATGACTCTAAAATTAAGTTCTCCACCTTGGAAATACTGATGATAGAAAGAAAGAAAGAAAGAAAGAGAAAGAGAAAGAGAAAGGAAGGCAGGAAGGAAGGAAGGAAGGAAGGAAAGAAAGAAAGGAAGGAAGGAAGGAAGGAAGGAAGGAAGGAAGGAAGGAAGGAAGAAGAAAGAAAGGTAAATAGATAGATCATTTTGAAGCTTCCTTCTTGTTATTCTCACTTAATTTTGGTATTCTTCCAGGGAACAGCAAGAGGCATTACTCTTAATCCTTCCAACTTTATATTAGGCTAAAATCTCAAAAGAAAATATAGCTCCCCCTCTTAGCTGACAAACTTCTCAATGTTTTAAGACCAGCTCTGTTGAAGGATTAAGCATCCATTAGATTGTTATATTCAGTGTCTCTGAAGGTAGTGTAAATAATATATTTGTCATACTGTAGTGTTATTAAAAGAAAAGAAGTCTAGAAAACAACTTAAAAACATTAAGAAGGCAGGTGGTAATGTATCTGTATTTCTTTTATTAATTTTTTATTGTTATTATAAAGGTGATGTAAAGAGGGGTTACACTTATATAAGTTAGGTAGAGTATATTTCTTTTTGGACAATGTGATCCATCCCTTTGTATCTGTATTTCATAAATGTTGGCATAATAATTAAGAGTATCTCAAGAACAGCTAGCTTGTCCCTAGGAACAAACAAGAAAGCCCAAGCAGGTAGACTTTGAAAATAGTCTTCCTGTGAAGAAAATATGACAACCTTCTTGCCATATACTATCAAACCTCAGTCCTTTCTTTTTAATTATTACTGTTTATCATGTTGATAATATATATCTTTTGGTTTACATGTGTAATACTTTTTAAGTGATGACGATGTTGAGTCAAAAGCATTTAGAGACCACTAGTACAGACAGACAACATTTGGGTGTCTTTGTGTCTGTGAACAGCTTTTTGTCCTTTTTTTTTTGCGCGAAGGTATCTCCTGGCACATTGCAGTGTTATATTTCTGTTTGTGTTTGCGCAGGGGACATGTTGTAATGGCTGGTTACCTTGGTGACTGCTATCTGATCTTTCTTCTGGCCTTTTTTGTCCTCTCTAGTGCTCCATGTCCTGGGGCTGAAAAGCACAGGGAAGCCACACAGTGTTATGTGGTAGATGAATTAGCTGAGCCTCTCTTCTGAGAAGAGAATGCAGACTAGCTCCTCCTGAGTGTGGAAAGAAAAAAGGAGACTTAACAAGGTGTGACTCACTTGGCTTTAAAAGTGCCTATGACTTATGGTCAAATTGTGGAGCTATGTTATAATTAATTCCAAAATTGAGTTTAAGAGTTAATGTTGATTTCCTTTGTTTTGCATCTTAATTTTTGTCTATTTTTCATTTCAGCGCTAATTGGGGATGGTTTCTTCTTATGTTTTGCTTGTCTTGTAAAATTCAAAGTAAAGTAAAATCTAAATAGATGGGTGCCGGTGGCTCATACCTGTAATTTTAGCTACTTAGTAGGCTGAGATCTGAGAATTGTGGTTGGAAGCCAGCCCGGGTGAGAAAGTCTGAGATTCTTATCTTTAGTAATCAACCAAAAAGGTGGAAATGGATCTGTGTCTAAAGGGGTAGAGCTCTAGTGTAGTGCAAAAAATGCTCATGGACAATGACAAGACTTTGAATTCGTCTTAGAACCAGCGCGCGCGCGCACACACACACACACACACACACACACACACACACACGAGGCTATTTTTGAAAAAATGAGGAAAAGTCAAATTTAATTACTTATTTAAATACAATTTAAAATTGCCTTTCAAATCTTAGACAATGCCACTTAAATATGGCAAAACAGAGCTTGTCTATAGACTCACATGGCCTCTAGAGGAAAGGGCTGTAGAATGCCAACATATTGTTTCCTCTGAAACATCGCAATTCCAATGTCACTGTCTTGGTATTAAGAGCTGGAGTTTGTAAGAATTTGCAGGGTCACAAGCGTTCTACCCGGGTAGGGTTAGTGTTGTTATGAAAGGGGCATGTACAGACTCTCCTTGCCCTTCCCCTTACTTTTCCTTCTACCAAACTACATGAAGGCTTTCACCAGTCAGTTTCCTGCACTTTGATATGGCACTTCTCAGCCTCCAGAACTGTGAGATGAGTTTTCTACTCTAGAATTCTGTTAATGCAACAGAAATGGACCATGACAGTGGATCAAGGATGTTCTGAGATCACAGTTGGCCTGGCCAATGTGGTTTGTATATATATAGGCCTGAGTTGAGTGCTAACTCTGTGCCCACTCTCTCCTTTTTATGTCTTTCTCCCATTCAGAGTTTGCATAGTCTGTGAATCTTCTGCCATGAGCATGGTGACTGGGTTGTAGGTTTTTTCTTCTGGCTACCAGGGCCAGAAGAAAAAAGTTGACAGCTAGTTCCTGTCATGGCGTCTTGAAATGTCTGTTCTCACTTCCCTAATCAGTGGCTGTGGGAACAGGTAGAAAAGAACTTAATACAGAGTAGAGAGGTGGAAACCTACTGAATGGAGAGAGTTGGAACCTTTCTGAGCTATATTTTTGTGATTTAATCTGTTTGATTAGATTAGTCTCTGGCTGAGCTCCAGAGAGAGATGGCCCCCTTAAAGAGGGGGCTACCACATATTCTGTAAGCAATTCAAAGATCAGACTAACTACTTGGAAAATTTGTAAGACTCCTAAAACCTTTCTAACTTCCACCCATCTTTGCTATTTTTATTGCTAGTTGTATGTGCATTGCCATGTATAAGCCAGAAAACTCTTAAAATGGAAAGAGCTTGCATGCCTATTTTCAATGGGCACAAGGAGAAAGAAGTTATTCCTGCCAGATTGGTAGGAAACCCAGACGAGGAGAGTAAACCTTAGCATTTACAACCTGCGTTTCAGATAAAAGAGAAGAACAAATCATGGATCAATGGAGATGGTGGAAGGGAGAGTTCAGAAATTCAACCCAGGGCAGAGAAATTAATTACTCTTACAGTACTATTAGTTCTTTTGTTTTTATTTGAGGCAGACACTTGATAAATAGCCAGGCAGGCCTCAAACTCTTTATTCTCTTGCTTTATCCTCCCCGGTGCTGAAATTATAGGCATGTGCCACCATCTCTGGCTGATGCTATCTGTTAACAATGAAAAGACATGTATATAAGTGTCCTGAACGTAACTAGGAAATGAACACTTGTGATCATTACAAATCATTTTTACTAGTTTAAAAATAAAGCTAACAACTCTTTTTAGCAAGTTACCCTAACATTACAGATAGGTCAACTTGTGTAAGATTCTTGAATCAAGTGGATTGATCAATGTGCAAATTAATTGATAATTTTAGGTATCAGAAAGTCAATAGGATGTATAAATTACGTCACAATACACCTTACATAGTAGTTTTTCCTAGATCATCAGACTGCCAATATTTTATGTTTGAGTGTAACAAGGAAGGAAAATATTGTTGTTTTTCCAAGATTTAAAATCCACTAAAATGTGTGTATGTTGAATATTGTGCCCAAATAAAGACCTTTTAATTAGTTAATTTATCTATTTCCCACTGTCACATTCTGTTTATAAGAAAGAACGTTTATGAAAAGTCATCTTGAACATAAATTTGCTTTTCTGCATTCAACATCGTGGTGAATTTTTGTGTTGAGTGAATCACAACAATTTGGATGAACATTTTTCTGGTTTTGAAAGAGAAAGTACTTGGGGAAAAATGTCGTGTAGGTTTCATTGAAATGGAAATATTTGGAAAATGGGATTTTCTGGTGAGCCTATCAAATGACCGGTTTCCATACTCATTTCTGTGAATCTGTAACCAGGATAGGCAAAATCTTAAGTGGCATAGGATGCTTTCAACTCTCCAACTCTTCCCAGAAATACATGTTTAAATAAAGTCCCTTTAGGAGGCAAATATTTTAACAATACTTTGAAGATAGCATTATTCCCTTTGTAAACTTGACTCCTAAGATTGTCTCAAAAGAAAGTAGGGTCTCTTATCTGTGTATATTTTTTATTTACTCATAGAAAAACATGCCCTCCTTCCTTTTTTAAAAAAAATTCTTGTCTTCTCATTATGGCCAATCCAAAGTAAGTTCTCTAGAGTCATGTTATGTTCAAAATTTTATATTTGAGTTTAATTGTATACTAGTATCTATTAGCTTTTCTTCTGAACATGTGAGTCAATTTTTGAGACCTGAGTTATCTCATGACTCCTGTTGAAGCATCTCCAGTCTCTTGTGTTTGAGGTTAAAATGCGAATTTCCTGCTCTGCTGTCAGAAGTGTAGGACCTGTATGCTAGGGTCCTACTGGGTAGCTTAGCTTGTTTGCATCTTGAGCATGTCAGATCTATCAAATTTTCCACCTTGAATCCTTTTGCTTCAGTTTAGTTTTTCTCCCATGCCCTCTTCAGTGACCGTCAGGAGGGTTTGGGGCCACCAGAGAGTTCTTTCAACATGTCACACCAACTAATTGGTGACTGTATGTGCAGTTTCTTCCCAGTCAGCTCTAAGTCCCCCACAGTCCCCCACCAGCTTCTTCTAAACCACAGTTCCTCTTTGGGATTCTCTATTCATCCTTCCTTCTCTGCCACTGAGATCTTTCTGCTCATAGAGTCAAACATGAGTATAGGGCCTAGTTTTCTGTAAATGTTTGGCTAAACTCCACTGGGTTAGAAACTTTTTTGTTTTAATCGTTGAACACAACCTGTTTTCTAGATTCCTCTTTCCTACTTGTCTGATGCCTAGTTTCCATTCATATGGAGTTTGATCTACTACCACGAAATCCTTCAACTCTTCGTGGATGTTCACACTGAACTATTCTACATCTCGATGCTCATCATGTGTGACTCCTCTCCTGCCTTCTTCACCTTCCCCCTGGCAGATGTAAAAGCCATCTCTCCTATGTTCTCTCAGCACACTTTAATTCTTCTTTATTCAGTGGCCTCCATTGTAGTTAATGGTCACATGAGAGTTTCTCAGGTTAAATTAAGAATTGTTTTAAGACAGGGACTTGAATTTTTATTTGTAAAAATGTGTTTCGGTGTTTGGAACTTCATAAATCCCTCCACAAACCTGCACAGAGTATAAGGATGTGTTAAAATGTAGACAGATACTCTTAGGAATAACTTGATGGAGAGTGAAGGCAAGGATAGCAAAGGAAAATAGCTCCTTTGTCAAATTTTTCTTGAGAACTCAGGATTAAACTTGGGGATTTCTTTGGAAAGTGAGCAACAATGATGACAATATTATCTGCAAGTGATTGTGTGTTCCAGTTACACAGTGCTCTAGCATATGTTATCGACCTATTGTATTGATGACTTGAGCATAAAAAAATAAGAAACGATCAATACAGATGCCCACTTTCTTTCTGATTGGGATTAAACCAGCTGTTTAGCATGTGTTTATTGAAAATAAAGTAAGTATATAAAGTTAAATGCATACCAAAAATGTCTAATCTCTACCTTCTACTTATTATAATAGAAATAGAAAGAGACAGACATTCAATGCATTTTGAATTAGGACAAAACCTGTTGAGACAGATTAAATAAGTGAAAAAGAAAAAAATCACTATGGAGCAAAGGAAAATCATTACGACCAGGACAATCAATTAAAGGTCACACTAAGCAGTGCTAATTTGAATTGCTCCTGAAGAAGTAAGCTAAGGATTACATAACTGGAAGTAAGCAATTCAATGTGAAGGAAAAAAAAATCACAGGTCCATGGCTGAAGAATATGAGATTTCTACCTCATGCAAACAAAAATTCACTTGAGAATTTTAGTGTATTTCCTTTAAAGAATATGAAGTTATTGTGTTCTACTTTATTTTTCCCTCCCAGGTGGGTCAGATATTGAATATCTAGACTTCTATAAGCCTGTTGTATGGTTTTGGATCCTTGTTGGGCTCGCTTACTTCGCTGCTGTCCTGAGCATGATTGGAGATTGGCTCCGTGTGATATCAAAAAAGACAAAGGAAGAGGTAAGAATTAGAAGTGTGCAAAACTGCACACTTCTATTTAGCTCATCAGAAAGTGTTGCTTTTTTGTTTATTTGTGATATTGGAATTTGAACTCAGGGATTGCAATTGCTTGGGTGATGCTCTGCTATTTGAGCATGCCTCCTGCCTAGTTTTTTGGTGATTATTTTGAAGATGTCATCTAGCAAACTTTTCTGCCATGTTGGTCTGAAACTATGAATGTTTGGATCTCTGCCTCCTAACTTTAGCTAGTATTACAGCCATGAGCCACTGGTGCTAGGTCAGTAAGTGTTTAAAAAATAATAATAAATACTTGGATATTATTTAAATATTTAAATATTTACATTTGGTATGACTTTATTCTGTAAGATAATGGAGAGATATATCAAATGGGTTGTAATTTATTCAACTAATTATGTGCTACATATGTCTGGAAACTAAGATTCATTTGTAATGAAAAGATGAATTTAAAATATTTTTCCCATTTTTCTCTATTTCTTACTCTTTCCCTTTTTGTGTTCCTTTATTCACTCAAGAACACAAAGTGAATTTTATTCCATACAGAAAAATGTAAGAGAAAACATTTGTGTCAAGGTGTCATACTATTAAGTAGTGAGTTTTATAAAATATTGACTTTTTCTCTATTTGTTTCTTTTTCTTCTAAATATGTGTCCACATGGGTATATATATCTGCCCTCACATATTCTAAAGTCTTACACTTTATAGCCACTTTCCCTAGGCATATGTTTCTGCTAGTCAGAAAGATGTCTTTTTACTGACTTCTACAGCTATCTATGTAGAAGTGAATACAGAATTTTAACACATGAGATTTTGAAAATGCCGTTCTTTGGAAATCAAATTTTGATTCACTTACATGCCCAGACATGTTATTTGATTATTGTGGAGTAGTGTTTTCTGATAAATTCCACCCCCATATATGTGTGTGTGTGTGTGTGTGTGTGTGTGTGTGTGTGTCTATATATAGCTTCTGGGTCTTATTTCACTTTGCTGATTGATTAAGAGAACAAAAAAATCTGTTAAAATCTACCCTATGGTACTCATTGATTTCCTTTATTACCTTCTCAATTTCATTATCTGCTGTTCATAGATGGGTCAAAAGAGATCAGTACTAGATCTTTGATTATTGTGGCATAGATATACCAAAATGGATAGAATAAGATAGGATAGAGTAAGATAAGAAGTTATAAAATTTATCTTTATAAATATTGTCCTCATTTTCTTTGAAACTTAAAGACTACTTTTATTGCTGCTTAAGTTCTTTATTATAACCAGCAAGAATGTAAGTTATCTAGCATTTCATCTAGCATTTCACCATGAGTAATTCACCTACTTTGTATGCATGTATTAATCTGCAACATAATTGTAGTATAGCATCAATATTTTTATTATAAACAAATCAGCAATGTGCTTAATATGCTAATATAAATTGTGTGAAAACTCTTTTGAATAGGATTTGAATAGATTTACCACAATCTCTGACTCGTTTTGTGGTGTGTGGGGGGGTGTGTGCTCATGAGTTTTGGGGGTGTGTGTGTGTGTGTGTGTGTGTGTGTGTGTGAAGGATATAATTAAAACCAGCTAAATATTTTCTAGTCATCATCTTTAAGTATATGAGCCAATGTGAGATATGTATTTCATGCTTTCTATAACAATGAGGAGAGAACAGGAGACTGAGAGAGGAAGAAGATAGTAGAGAGAGAGTACAGTTCTTCTGATTTCATGTGTACTTTTACAAATATTGTAATGCTAAGGGGAAAAGGAAATTGTAACAAAGAAATACTTTGGATAATATAGGTAAAAGATGGTACGGCTTTACCATCCAGCCGTAAACTAGTTTATAAATGGATTTAAATACATATTTAATTTTTTAATAACAGAGTTGAACAAAACAAATTTGCACTGTGAAAACTAGTGAAAAAGTCAACTTATTATACACATATATAATATAAATATATTACATATATATACACATATGTACTCATCCTTCCATATACACTAAGATAGATCCCTGTCATAAAGATTAAAAGCCACAAGATGTATATACTCCTATCTTAGTAAAGTCTCTGGTAGTAGTATATTCGGATAAAGTTTATTATCTATTATCCTTTTTTCTTTAAAGTAAATTTATATTATTACAAACCAAGACACCATGTTTTTTAAATGAATGCTTCTTTCTACATAACTGGCTCATTAGATATAGAAAAGAAGTTCATGTGAGTAGTTCTGAGGGAACTCCATGACTCTGGACTCTAGACATGAATGATTCCATGCCTGCTCAACACAAGAAGTAGGAAACTTGTAATTTTGTTAACAAAGGGACATTGTGTTCAATTGTTAACGTGTACTTTCTAGCTTTGCCTCGGTAAGAAAGCAGCACATGTGAGCAGAAGCCATGACCTTGACTTCACGTGAGCCGTATGGAGCTCCAGCTGCTTTGGATAGCTGAACCAGTTGAAACATCACTTTTCATTTGAACAGATGTGAATTTTCTGATTTATAATGCAATTTAGAGAAATGCAGAATAGGATCACAAATTCAAAAGAGAATGTGAGAAAAGAGAGAAAGGGAAGACAATTTATTAGCTCTCTGAAGATCACCAGAAGCAAATAATTTTTTTTCTCTAAATGACAAAACTGCTTGAGTATTGATGGCAGTGGGAAAAGAGATTATCTTCTCTGAAATAATTCATTGAAGTATTATAATTAAAACCAGCTACACATATTCTAATTGTCATCCTCAAGTAGATGAGCCAACATTAGATATGTATTTCATTCTTTCTGTAACTCAGTTATTCTAGGTACATCAGTTTTTAACAGCTTCCAGAATTTTCAGGAGCAACAAAGTTATTATTATGGTTGTTATGAGTCTGTTGCTGGTGATCAATCCTAGGGCTTTGTGCTTGCAAAATACATGCTCATACCAAGCTATACTTTCAGATCAGAAAGATTCTTTCCAGCTGTCAGGATTTTTTTTTTTGTTTGTTTGTTTATAATCTGGTCCTAGGGCTTGAACTCACTGTCCTCGAGCTTATTTGGCTCAAGGCCAACACTCCACTACTTGAGCCATAGTACCACTTCTGGCCTTTTTGTGAGTAGTTTATTGGAGATAAGAGTCTCATGGACTGCCCAGGCTGGCTTCAAATCACGATCCTCAGATCTCAGCCCCCTGAGTAGCTAGGATTACAGATGTGAACTATCAGTGCCTGCCTCTATTTTTATTCAAAAGTCAATCAGTTTAAACCTTATCAGTAAAATAGGAACATGAAAAGCTTATCATGTGGCATTATGCCATATTTAATGTTAAAATGTGCTGTTTAAAATAAAGCATAATTTTTAATGAAATGATGATGTTTAGAAGTAAGGAATTATATTGTTTTCTAGCTGTCTGAAATATTTCGAAAGTAAATAATGACTTTGGACAACACCAGATTGTTTCCAAAGTGAGAAAAATAATTATAGCTAATTCACATTTCTCAGGGGAAAGCAATAATGAGCTGAACAATTTTTCCCTGGAGATGTACGCCATGTCTAAAATGTCTGAAAAATGTTGGTTGACCTGTGATGTTTCAAAGTACATATTTAAAAATATAACTAGTTGTCTTTTCTATCCCACCTTTTTCTGAGGAAATGGTGTTTTCACTGAGCAAATACAGCTTATTTGGGTATTTAGCCTCGTACAGTATGACTGATAGCCAAGGCAAATGTACAATGTAGACCCAATTACAGCACACAACAGAAGATAAAACCTGCGTTTACTTAGGAGGCAAGCTGGGAACAGCACATGCACAGTGTTCGTAATGTCCCTGTGTACCTGTGACATTGGGGTTGGAACTGAGGTGTCCTGCTTGCTAGGCAGGTGCTCTACCACCTGAGCTAGGCCTGTAGATGAAGGCTACATATCTGACTTTGTGGATGTTGCTTTGATTTCTAACGTATTACAGGGGAAGGAAAGTACTGGCCAGTACAAAATTCTTTTTTGGTGTTATTTCTTGTTATAATTGTATTCTTATTGCAATAAAAAGTAGATGAATTGACTATTCTAAGTAGGACTATAGATTTAGTATGTAGCAGTCATAGGCTGCATAGACAGAGAGAGACAGAGAATTGCCTTAATTAACAAATAGGCAACTGGAAAGGAAAATAAAAATAAAATGCAGCAATATTAGATTTAAATTTATTATTATTATTATTGCAGTACAAGGTTTCTGAACTGAGGGCTGTGCTTGCTGAGGATTCACTTGTGAACCATGCCTCCAGCCCATTTTTTGCTTTGACTAATTTCATTAAGAGTCTCATGCTTTTCTCAAAACCATCCTTAACCCCAGATCCTTCTATCTGTATCTCTTGTGTAGCTGTACTACCATGTACAGTTTGTGATAGGGTCTCACTGTCTTTTTTTAACTTTGACTGGACTCTAACTACTATCCTCCTATGTGCATCCCAAGTAGTTGGTTTACAGCTATGAGCCACTGTGCCCAGCCAAAATACCATTTCTTTCAAAGGAAATGGTGACTTTCAGGATCTAGTACATGTCTACACTCTAGCTTAATTTTCTGGGCAGTCATTTCTACATTACCCCAAATCCTGAATTATACCTGATTATATTGCATGTTGTGAGTCCTAGTGGGTCTAATATTATAAAGTTCTTTACAAGTCAAAATATATATTTAAAATACAGTAGGATTTTGAAAGACATTTCTTATAGAACATACTTTCATATTTTAGTAGTAAATGAAATAGTGATTACAAAGCACACATCTGCCAAATAATAATGGCAAGAAAACTAAAGCACAAAGCTGTACAGTGACTTCGTAGGGCTACATAGCAGAAAGCAATAGAACCACCCATATGATTTAACTCATAGCCATCTTTTCACCTCTTTGCCCAAGTGCTCAGAGTCTCCTCCTCCCTTTTCTTGCTCCTCATAGTCATTACAAACAAGTGTTCATATCCAACCTAGTTAAGGCACTGTATAACCACAGA